TTTGAGAATTTGAAAATAAATGATATATATTGGTATATTGAGTAGATATGAGGGTAAGAGGAGTGCTTAGTGTGTGTCTTTCTATATATGTAGGAAGACAGCATATTGTGTGGTTGCTTGAGATTTTAGTTTTGGTCGTAGTGGGAGGAAGAAGTAAAGCAGTGAACCACTCCCCCTGTGTGTTGTTATGAAGTGATGGGAACGAAGGAAGGGGGTGTTAGAAGGTTGTGGATGAAGTGTCCAGTCTTATCAATAGAATTAATCTGTGGACATAACAGATTTTAAAAATGCATCATCTGCCTCATTGTACTTCTGCTCTATGCCATAACTAATTAAATGATGATTTTATTGTGTCATGATAATAATTAAAAGATATGCCAGATGGAAACTGAATACACAATACTAAAATAAACAGAAAAATAAAATAGATTAATGTAACAAAATAAATATTTGGAGATATTTCAAATGGGGTTTTTCTTCTTTTCAGCCTTTCAATCGTGGAGCAATGAGACAGTGCTATCGACTGTAAGTACCAACTTCTGTATTTCTTGTTTAGATGAGTTACTAGTAATAGTGCACCTTATTCACTGTTTTAGCTTGCCTATCCTGTGTCATGAGTAAGGCTCTGTCTCTGTGTGGTACCCAACAGGATCTGCCATATGGCATGCTAGGAACCGCACTTGTTAAAACCCAAAGTTTTGAACCAAAGTCACATGCCATGTTGTTGCTCAGCATTGAATAAATAAATGAGTTTATTAATACTAAGGGAACTGTTTTATACAATAGGGATCCATGTGTGATCTGGTGGATCATTGGTAAATTAAGTTTTTACAGGGGTATTTTTTGAAGGTTTCAACTTACATGTCTTTGGTTTGACTGTTTGTAGATGGGTTGAGATTGATGCATCATGTTTATGGTTATAGATAAGTATATTTTTTAGTTTTATAATGATGATGAAGAAATGAACTTAATATTCTCGTCAGAAATACAAAAAAGTAATACTTGTGAAATGCAGGTGTTCTGGCATATCCTTTTACAGTGCATTCCACACAGTTGCATGCTGGGGCATGTTAGTATTGCTCCAAACTACATGGTATCATGGCAGTAAACATATGGCATCTCACAAACATTCTGATATATATTATCACCTTCGCAGGCCCATGTTACTGATTTTAAAAAATGTATACCTATTTTATTAAGCAGTTAAAAGTGCAAATGAGACCACTGTGGATAGAAAAAAATTGGAGTGTCTTAAATGATAATTAAAAGAAAAAGTATTGCCATGTAGCAAACACAGATCTAGGATGGGTGTGTGTTAGGGGTTGGGGCACAGGGAATTTATTTCCGCTAATTTTCTTCTCTCCTCACCCCTAGCAATAAAGTTTTCAATCTGACTGTGTGCACAAATTTCGGTACACCATGTGCTATTTTCCATTCAGTAGTCAAGCTGGTCTGAGATCAACCTTGAATTGAGCCCATGGCCTGATATCATGTCATTAGTTACCATTGCAGTGCACTAAGCTTGACACAGTTAAATGATATGTCAGTTTTTATGTACAGGTGCCAAAGTCCTTTTTAAAAAATAAAAATACCTTTACTCCATAGAGCTCTATACGCAACAGTTTCACATTTTTTGCATTTTGCTGACACACACACACACACACACACACATTGAATGGCCTTTTTTCCATCTGTAGTCTAAATTACTGTCTTGCTTTTTGTTTGTCATTTGCAGCGATGTCCATAAAACCCTTATGTAACTTGCTCTTTGCATAATGGAAGTGCTGTTTCAGAGTGAGTGCGAAAAAAAGCAAAATATATGGTGTGTGTTGTGAACATGGTAAATGGCAAGGACAATGGACAAAGACCTGTGGAAACTAGTTGAAAAGCTACAGGAAACTCAATCCCTCATTCCGTCTCTTCCACCAATACATGATTGCCTGTTATATCTCCCTTGTCTGAAACACTTCCTTGTCAGTGCTGCAACATTACCACAATATTATGTACATTGTCAATCTATCTATTGAAAACTTGGATTAGTGGCATTTTCTTAATGGGTAAAAGTAAGATAAAGATTTAACATCATCAGTATTTGTCATATGCCTATCTACTTCCCAGTTAGAATGATAATAGATCTCTGACAGTATTTGGTCTTGTGTTAGATTCTGATAATGTCTATGTTTGCTGGTTTAGTTTTCTATGATAATGCAACTGAACCATCACTGCACATAGACTCCCCCCCCCAAAAAAAAAAAAAAAAAAAAAACTGTTCCCCCCCCCCTTTCTTTAATTTTTCTGAGCCAGCCATGTTTGTTCATAATCCATCTTCTTTCTTGTCTTTGCTTCCAAGTGAGTTTTTGTCTTGGTTGCACATTAGAGATTTTCATCTTCGAGCTTCACAGGTGATGTGGTGATGTATTGGTTATGTAGCAGGCATCCAGTGTTAATGGAGTTGGAATTTTTTGGTAAAAGTGTGACTCAGACATATTTGTGCCATTACATGATATTTCCAACTTGATACAAAGATGTTTCAATGCCCAGTATGGGTGAAACCCAGGTCTACTCTTTGTATTCTAGTATTGTAGAGAGATCTAGAGAGGTTGCTGTTCCTCCCCCCCCCCCCCTTTTTTTTCAAACATACATGCGCAACCTTCGTTGGAAAATCTAGTTCTTACTTTTTGCTAGCCTGGTTTCAATACACTTAAATAAAATAAAAAAACTCAGCAAATCATATATAAAAAATCAACACAGTACTTATATGGTGCAGAAGACCGAAACAGTGTGGAAATTTCCACAGAGCCTAGTAAATAGGATGAGATGCATTATATAGGTCAAAAGTACAAATCTAGATGTAAACAAACGCCTACTTCTACACATATAGACATGACAGCTGTACGTTACATTATATATAGATTTATTTGGAGAATCAGGGACATGTGTTATTGTTTATGTGTAGAGGTGTACTTAAATAATCATCAAAATGTGCTTTGTGTCATGTAGGCATCTGTACAGGTACACGAGCCTGCAAAGGGAAAGTATTGTGTGTATATGTGTATCATATGTCATAGTGTTCCAACAAACAGACCCAGACTGATATTATTCCAGTGGCTTTTTTTTCAACCAACAACTGATTTTAACCAAATCTGTAATAAATTGGTACAAATTTCTATGATGTATCTCATATCCATTAGCCAAATCAAATAAGGTTAAGGATTTTGGAATCATATTTTTAGAGAAAAACTGTTCAGTAATGTTTTTATGAAAAAAGGATGTAGTCTTCAGTTAGAATTTTTAAAGTTTGCACAAAATTTTGCCTTTGTGAATCTAATGTAAATTCAGAATCTTCGGGTGATTGAAGAAAAAATGTAAATACTAAACTGTTCCATTGGCGTAAAAATACTGATAATGTTCAAACTGATATATATATGCCTTAAAGTACAGTGGGCAGTTGATCAGTTAGGTATTAATGTTATAGTTCAGTTAGAATACACACTTGAAGGTCATTTAAAGGTACACAGTGCTGAAAAGTTTAGTCCGCCAGAAATTATTTGTTTAGGTCAGTCAGGAATTAGGCTTAGGCTTAAGCATTGGGCATTCTGGTAAACAACATGTGATGGCCTGTAGATCGGTGCCTGGGATTATCGATCCACTGACTCTAAAAGGGTTCTCCAGCTGACAGTCATACATCAGTGATTTGAAGTAAGAGTGACATTATATCCATTATGTAATTCTGCAAGGAGAATAATAACCGTAGGTTCTTGATTGCAGACAAACACCTACGGTAATGTGCCAAGCATTTCGACGGGCCCAGTCAATCCGACCACAAAAATTATTTTATAAAATTAATTTTTCTGGGCTCAAACAATTAGTCCATACGTCAAAATCATGGGGCAGAATTTTTTTCTTGTTCCGATTGTTCGACCACATCGTCGACAAGACTCGGTAAATTTTCAAGCCAGTGAAATAGATGCTGCATGCTTTGGCCCTTTGTCAATTGTTGTCCTTTCAATAGCTCTCGTCAATGAGGAAGAAATAATTAACTGAAGATCTAATCTGGAAGCATGACGTACCTGTCTTTTCCTTTGCCCCCGATGACCATAATAGTGCTTATAGACATACAAATTTTGCTGACTGATTCATCACGCCCGTAACTGGGGAGGGGGGGGGTTAAAAAAAGGTCTATTCTGGATGAAACCAAATATCGACAGTGGGTAGAATACCTCGTAAACACCTTCATATAGACCATATATCGCGTTTGCTAGCAATAAAAAGTTTGGGAAGAATAAGCAATTTATTTTCAAGTTCGATTGAAATATATATGCAGATGGGGAAACGTTCTTGAAGTCAACACCGCAAGATCTTACATTTACTACAATCGACCGAAAGATCAGCGGGATCGACCGCCCAGACTTCTTGGCGCCAAATACCACACGCTGTCAAAATCTGACGAACACGTGTCGCTGTTCACCTACATGGATAACTGATTTGTCAACAATAAAAATGACGTCTTCCTTAACTCCATGGGAGCTTCATAGAGAGTTCCACTGGGTATTTACGTTACCTGTGAGTCACTTTCTATTTCCCCAGATGCATGAAATGTTGATAATATTTAGCGTAATCCACGACGAACTCCATTCCTGTGACCCCCCTCCCCCAAAATGGGACCGTCTTCATTAACATGTGGTTTGCGCTATGCTGGAGCAGGCCAGATAAAACCAGTCTCTCATTTCTGCATGTGCTCAATTCTCACGTCAAATTATAAATGCACCTGTTTTGTGAAAATTATGGCAAGTAAATGCTTTTTTTACGTTCGGGTTGTATCAGTGGGGTTTTCAATATGCACCGTGGTTTGTGCACAGCGAGAGTATATAAGTAAGAAAATCGGAAGAGTGCAAGCAAGATACTGTATGTCTATCGGCACAGGTAGGCTCCGTATTTTGCCTTTTCTCAATATGTTTTTATATGACATGTTTTTAAAATAAAATACTTAACAGTAATTTGAAGTTACACCGATTTCCGTTTGAGTACCAGTTGGTATTCTTTGATACGGGTGATTGAATTTTCTTCGGAAGTACGTACGTGTACGCCTCGACGCTGAGCAAGCCTTGCGGGTTGAAAACAACTGATCTCAGACTGGTAAAAAATGTCAATACGGTTGATTTCAGTTGTCATATTAAAATTCAAATAGGACGTACGTAAATCACATAACTAGTTTAAGTCCACTAAAGCTACCGGTTTCAAATATAAGTGACCGGCCTTTGTTTACAACACCTGTCTTCGGGGAAATACTCATCCCACTTGTGAAGCGCATCATGAAAGTGATCATAGGTGAGGGAAATATATAATTAACAATTATTATTGCCGTCTTTTTTAATGTTAAGTAATGTTAGCACATATTGTACACAGCAAAATAAGATTTCAGGAGGATAAAACATGCCTGAAACACGTGTTAGGCGAAAATTGCGGCTTATCTTGCGTAACACTTCCAGTAAAATGCAATACTTCCGGAAAGATGGACGTTTTGGCAGATGCCCCTAACAATCCGACGATATCAAAGGTTTCCATTTGCTGTATTTTAATCAATTCGACCAAACTGACATTTCCATGAAATTAATTAATTAATCTTGGTCGAATTGTTTGGCATATTACCGTATTGTGACCATATTGCCTTCAAGAATTTAGAACCTATTTTAATAAAATTGCTGCTGTACATGTGCCACAGTCATGAATCCTCCCCACTGTGTATAATACCTTCACACAAGCACTACTGATGTAAATGTTTGCTCATAAAAAAATAAGCTGGTAAATGCATCTGCACAATCACTGCATAGACAAAAATTGATTGTGTTCCCACCTTTAATTTTTTTAAAATAAAAAATGGCAAATGTATATTCATGTACATCATTAAATTTTTATGAGTATGATAACTTTAATGGCGCAATTATAATTTAATTTATGTAACTCATCTCTCTAAGAGAATTGTTGGATGGAAGGAATGTTATGACTGTGATAGCTATAGTGGATGGTGGTAGTAGAATTAAATGTGATATTAACAAGAAAGTCTTTCTATAATTCCAGCAAGAAAATGTCCACCCTGTCTCTCTCTGGAGACTGGAGGCATGCTTCAAATTATGTCGCCAAGAGGTACATGGAGGATGTTGACAGAGAGGTTTACTTTGAGGATGTTCGTCTACAGATGGACGCAAAACTCTGGGGAGAGGAGTATGATAGACACAATCCACCTAAGAAGGTAAAAAAAATACAGATGGCAGCACTGTTGATCATCGTACCCTGTTAAGGGTCTCGTGTTTTTTACATAGAATTAATTTGTATTTGTATGAGAAATGAAGGTAAGTGTTCCATTCAGAAACTTCTTAGAAAGTCTTGTATCATTTTTATTTATTTATTTTCTGTACATTGATGTAGTATATTCAGCTAAATCAGTGCAGAAGTGGCAGGATGCTTAATGAAACTCCTACACTCTAGCAAAGTGACAGTGGTACTGTATAAAATGAATTATGTAATGTATATAGATCATGCAGGTTATATCAAGAATATAAATTGGTCGACTTTCAGACCAATTTTACTTGCCTATAGCAGGGTTTACTTTGACTACAAAAATTTTTATGCTGTCCTAATTTCTTAACTTTTAATTAATTTGTTGCAAGTTAAAATGTTATATAAAAAATTTTTATAGACCAACTAGGACTAGATTTAAGTGTGAATTTTCTAGTCATCTATAATGTTTTGCCATTTCTATAATGTTTTACATTCATTAATCAATACAAATGTCAGAAAAAAATTGTCTGGAAGTCCCAAGTTTTTGTAGTCTTTTGCAGATTATGTCACATTAAGGCAAAATGTGAACAGCCATTCAGCCTGAAAAAATCATGGGCCTGAAATGGAACTTATTTATGACATTTATGTTATATTTATGTTATATTTATGACTTATTTATGTTTTACCATCTCTGTCTACATGTTATTTTGTCTAAGAGGTTCAAGAAGGCTGCATGACAATGCAATGTTATTGATACGCTTCCTGTTATGAATCCCTTAATGGCATTAGTGAAGAGTCCATAGTTTGAACTACATGCGAATCAGACTGCTGAATAAGACATTTGTATTGATCCATGCAGGATTTTGCTCTTCAACTGTGTGGAAAATGTTGAAAATAGACGGAATAGACCAAATGTATCACCTGAGAAATTACAAGAGAAATGTCCACCTGCTTATACTTCTACTTGTTTGAAAGCATTTTGTTTTCATAAGCTTCATTTTTCGAGCATGTTTTATGTGCCCGTTTGAATTTTTGTTTCATTCTTACATAGTGAGGAATTGATACAAGAACATTTATTTTCCATTGCAGTGATTTCTTAACTTGCTAAGGATTACTGATTATTCTGAATTTAAACCTTTCTCTCACAAATGCTAATATAACATGAAATAAAGGCAGTTTTCAATTATTTTTACTCTCTTCCATCCAGGTTGACATATTCCAAATGTACGTTCTGGAGTTCAAGAACCGTGAAGGCTGCCCTCTTTACCATCTGGAGCACTTCATAGAGGGAAAGTACATCAAATACAACTCCAACTCGGGCTTTGTAGAGGAGACATCACGCCTCACACCACAGGTGAGTGTGCTAGTGATTTTACAGGTAAAAAGTACCATTGATTTTTGAGACATATCACAGCTTTGCTATTGTGCTTAGCTGTATGTTGTACAAAGCCGTGGTTAGTTACTCAGTAGCTATACCAGGCAGCTTCCACCACCATAAAGTTAACATTATGTACTGGCATATGACCTGAAAGCACATTATGACTTGTTTACCTTCGCCTGTTAGGCTCTTAGATCATCTGCACAGGTATTTTAGAACAGGTGGGAAATATTGGGAGTCTAGACCACCTGGCGCTGATCCTTCAGCATTGGCAACAACAGTATGAGGAAGGGGATGGTACTAATGATAATGTGTCCACAGTGGTCTGAGGTTTATGACCTTCACTGAAGGTCATGACCTTCTCTCAAGGTCATGTAGGAGTAATGAACTGAAAAGACTTGTTTACTATTTTGCTATGTGAAAGAAGTATATTTGTTATTTGATAATCCACACTGTTTCAGTGTTTAGGTGTATTTAATGAATTGCTTTTTGAAGCAATTTCTTATTTGACCTGTTTGCAAGACTTTTGTATGTAGATGCTTGTGATGTTGAGAAATACTTGCAAAATTGCTTGCAACTTGCAACACAGGTAGAAACAATATTGTTATTTTTACTAAGGGGTATTTTGAATTGCCTGATTAAAAATGATTTTATCAGCAGGATTTAAGTTTCTTAATTCTGCTTTATAGACTTACCTCTTTATATGCACATATAGTATACTTAGTATACTTCAAAAATGATAGATGTTTTTACTCATGACACCAGATATGGTGCAGCCATATTTTTGATATATTACTTGTACCTTCCTCAGGCCTTTAGCCACTTCACATTTGAGCGTTCTGGTCATCAGCTGATTGTAGTGGACATCCAGGGAGTGGGTGACCTGTATACTGACCCTCAGATACACACTGCTGGAGGTGAGTGGACCCAACCAGCTGTCAAGGCAAACAAGGCATATGCTGTATTTTAACAGTAGATGTAATGTAATTTAACTGCAATGCATGGTGATCATGGAGCTTGATTAGTATTGTCAGCTGTTTAGGGACTTTTTAACAGTCCCGTGACTCCTGTAAAAATGTAACTTGGTGGTTATTTAAGACTCAGTGATTCCATGTTTCAGAGTAAAATTATTAAAGACGCTGTTGAATAGCAGTAAATGCCTTTGATTTGCCTAGTTGGGCATGATGTTTTAAAATGTATATGTTGACTTTGTCTGTTGAATGGCTCTGTTTTATCTGTCAGGTAAGTAAAATAAATGGGAGAAATCTGAAATCTTTAAGTTTGCTAACATTAAGGCTTCGTTCACGTGCAATGTCTATTTTCTAATTTCTATTTTCTATTTGCGCTATCTTATGATCACGGTCTGTGCCCTGAATATCCCGCCGCGTAATTACTGGCAGCGCGAGCCAGTTACTTATAGTAACTTATAGTAACTGGCTCGCGCTGCCAGTAATTACGCTGCGGGATATTCAGGCCACAGACCGTGATCATAAGACATACCGCAAATAGAAAATAGAATTTAGAAAATAGACATTGCATGTGAACGAAGCCTAAGTTTGAAAGTTCGAGTAACCTGTCTCCCTGGATCAAAGGAAAAGAGCAAAATCAATGGGCATGATGCAATTTTTAATTTATTAAGTTGCCATTGTAAAGAAATTGATATGGTTTTGAAGTTTTTATTTATTGATGTATTTATTTTTTATGATCTTTAATATTTATTTGTCATTTTTTTCATCAGACTTTAATTTCCATTAGTAAACTTATAATTTTCATTTCTTGGTGTTTTTTCTTCAGCATATGATCTTTCTTCTGGTAGGTACATATTGCCTGTGTGAGGAAGCTGAGCCTTGTTTTTATTTTCCAATCTCTTTGATAGTTATTCCGAATAAGAGTGTGCTTATATTTCACCAGCTGTGCTACTGATAACTTGTTTTTACAGTTTGAAGTTATCTTAATTCCATAGTTACTTAGATGATGTTTTCAAGAAAGTTTGGCTAGGAAGGTAGTTTTAGAAATAGCCCCTCCAAACAAAAAATGGTCAGTGCTGTTTTATGTTATATCCGGTAGAAATTTATGGAGTGATTGGGAAAATTTTTTAAAAATAAATTGGAAGAGGGGAATATTGGTGGCTGCTTGATATCAGGCTGAGCATTAATTCCTGTATTGTTGAGTTTTTTCAAGCTTTTATGACAAACTGCTGCTTTTCTAAATGTTTAAAATGGTACATGTGAACGCATGACATATGGATATGGACATGGGTTCCACAAGTAATCCTGGACAAAAAGAAGCCATACATTACCCTGTACCTATGTGTGATTTATTTATTATTATTATTTTTTTTATTTTTTTTTTTTATTTTTTGCAAATTTTATACATGTGCACGCAGTAAAACATTCATCCTTGTCTTTCTTGCTATCTATCTCTCCCACCATCTTGTTTGCCTTACATCTCCTCTTGAATAACTTTGAAGATATTTACCAGATAAATTGAATTTCCAGTACATATTTTTTTCTCCAGATTATTTGGGTTTTGTGATTTCATTTGAAAACTTTCACAGTTCATAAGATACATTAACATTATCTAATGATTGGCACTTTAAAGAAAATAATGACCACTAGATTGGAATAATTGAATATTGCTTGTATTCTGCACATTCTCATCATAAAAGAAAAACAGAAGAGAGTAATTTATCTAATATTAATTATTTATTTGATATGATCTTTAAACCTTAATAAAATCTTAAAGAATGAGCTGATGCAAACTTGTTTCCATGTACAAATAATACCATTGGTATTAAGTTTTCATTTATACAGAATTTTCATCAGTAGTTTGAATGTTTTTATGATGAACTGAATCAGCATTTTTACTTATATAACATATACTAACCAACTGTGCTTGTCTTTTCTCAGGTCATGAGTATGGTGATGGTAATCTGGGCCCAAAAGGCATGGCTCTTTTCTTTCACTCCCATGTCTGCAACAGTATCTGTGAGAGTCTCAACCTCAGCAAGTTTGATCTGGCAGAGAGTGAGAAGAAGCTGCAGCAGAAGTACATAGAGTTGATGGTAAGAGTTATAGTTTGGCTGAGTTTTTTTTTACTTAAAAAATGCAAAATTAAACAGAATGATAATTGGTTCTGTAGAAAACAGTCTGGTAACAGCCTGTATAATTGACCATATATGTATATATAAATAGGTTTGTGCCTGATATTACAGAAAGATGCCACTACTCACACTAAAGGCAAAGAAGAGGTATGTCTAAGTGCTTCCCCACGTGACCAAAAAAATTTGCACGAGTTTCTGCGAAAGCGTACTGTATCTGGCACTTCCATTGGATCTGATGGCGACAGTGACTTGCTGAGTCCCCGCAGCCTAGAGGATGAGCCGATGAGTGCTGATGCTGCAGACAAAGCCCATCTTGGCATTCGCTGGAGTATCAGTAGCTCGCAGAGCGAGTCGTCTCCTCGCAGTAGTGAGCCTCCTAGCGCATCCGACAGTGGTACCATGACTATCGTAAGTGGGATTATTTTTGATTTAATTCAACAGATAAGGCTCTTCATTTAAAAACTGTAATATATGTATGATTATTGGGCTTTGACCGTCAGTGGCAAGTTATACTCTGAAATTTACCACTCATACAACTACATGTGCCATCATGTCCTTATATTCTCTCATTTTGACAGGAGGAGGAAAGGTTGGAGTTTTCTCGTGCCGTGAAGCAGCTCTCCAGACCTTCCTGTGTGATTCATGAAATTCAGAGACGCCACACTTGCAATGGTACCCGGATGGATGACTCTGTTTTGGGCCAAGTAAGTGCACAGCACACAAATGTACAATGCTGACCTATGACAGGCTGAAGGACAGGTTAACACTTTTTGACATAGCACTGGATTCATGCCACTTGCAAGTAAAATTAAAGATGGACCAGTATCGTTTTGTTAATCTGTTCATATACCATCCTCCTATCTGCTTTTGGCCAGTTTGTTCTTAGACCCCTTTGACTTCAAGGGCCAGTTTGCTAAAGGTTATATTTTAATTTTTTTTTTTTTAATGAAAATCAGAATCAAATTATTACTTAAGATTATCAGAATCTCCATAACTATTTTGTTTTGTGAACACCCAAGTTAAAGGAAAGGCTGGATATGATTATCACATCAGCTAGGATTTTTAAGTATGTATATAATTCCATACATTCACAACCAAATATTTCACCTCTCTCTTCATTCACCCAAGGTCCACCACGAACTGGCAAAGTACCATGAGATCGGTCGCTTCAGCACAAATGGTGACACCTTCAACCCAGAAGTGGACTGGCATGCAGCACTGTTCCATGAAGAGATAGCTGCCCAATGTGGCGTGATGGAAGCCATACTCACCATGGCCAAGATCTACCTACAGATGCCACACGATGTGTTGCAGGAGTGCAATGTGCAGGTGAGTGGTGTGTGAGATTACATGTACACAGTTATTGCCCAATCGGGGTGATGTGCCACTGTTTGCAGCTCCCTCAAGACCACTGTTGCCCATTTCTACATTATGTGTACTTTCATTATGATACTCATAGACACCATCTACATTTGGATGATAACTTGATATTTTGCTCAAATTGGGCAGTAGAATTTATTCACCAGAAATGAAAAGGATAGTACATTAAGTTCCTCATTACACATGACATATACATCATACCACTGCAGAAATGAGAAATCAAAAATGAGGTATAACACTAGGTATGATTTGTTTTTGATCTTCAGTCCACCATAAAATTAAAGGGGGGGGGGAGATAGAGAGAGAGAGAGAAAAGAGAAAAACACTGGCCACCAAAAGAAAGGAGAAAAATTGATAAAACAGTTTTAAATGTATGGGTTATTATTCAGGAAAATGAGGACAATCTTAACCGTGGAGTTGACTACATGCTGCAGGCAGCAGATGCTGGGGACAGGAGTGCTATGTTGTACATGGCCAAGGCTTATGAAACTGGCATAGGTTTGGGGACTGAAAGGTAAGAGGTGAATTATGAAAAAAATGACACAATAATGACTTGATCTCCGGGAAGTAAATTTAACATTTGGAGCCATAAATTGGGAACATTTTTTTGACAACTTAAAAAGTATATAATAAAGAATTAAGACCAATGAAGTACATTTAAACCAATGTAGTGTGAAAAAGTAATACTTTCAACATTTTTAAATAGATGGCAATGGCCATGTTTTTGTAATGTTTTTTTTTTCTTCATGGATATACATATAAACCTATCTGCAGTAAAATATATTTGAAGGCCTTATAACTGCAAGTACTGATTTAATATCAGTATTATGTTACGTTTCAGGAGTCGATGTTTTGTTGAGGCTATAGAGTTCTACGGAAAGGCTCTGAAAATGACAGAGAATGATGAAAGTGGATCATTTGATTCTGCCATGGAAGAGCCTCGACATCTGATATTGGCTAAACAGGCAGAGTTGTACAGACAGGGGGGTCTTAATTTGGAAAAGGATCCTCTGAAATCAGGTATAGACCTTTCCTGATTTGAAAGCAATCCTTAGTATCATGAGACCTATGAGGTCAATGTGGGAAAGATTGCATGACTAGGGGAAAATCAGCCATTTGCTTGGCAGTTCTTGCTGATTCTTGTGTTAAGCAAACCTTTTGGCATGATTACATGTTAAAACAATCAAAAGAAGTCCCTTTGGCTTTCTTTAACAATCTAGCTGTCATACATGTAAAATCACTTGTCATTTGGAATAAAGTTGTAACTTTTTATCAACAGCTAATGTTGAAATTGTTATCAGCATATCTTACAGCTATCATATTTTGTGATTTTTAACAGAAATGATGCAGTTTTTCAAAATATTGAACCGAAAAAGATTAACAATAAAGTTTATATCCTGTAATGGTATCAGTATATTGGCTGCTCGTGCTTTTCAGTTTTTGTCAAAAAGATAAGTTAAGCAGATGAAGTGAAAACTTATTATTGTAAATAAAATGGTTTTACTGCATGTAATATTAACATAAATGTTTGTTTCCTCAAAGGTGAACTCTATAATGAGGCAGCAGAGGCGGCCATGGAAGCCATGAAAGGCAGGCTTGCTAACAAGTATTACGCATTGGCAGAGGAAGTGTGGGCAGAATGTGAAGACGTTGAAGAATAGATGGTGCTCAATTACAAGATGGGACAAACTCACCTGGGTTAAGTTTTTCATAAAGGTGATAACTCTCTGCAGGATCATGTTCTTTTTATTTTTGATCTTATTTTTTTAATACTTTTACTATTAGGTTGGAACTTCAGTACAATGGTTATGGTTTAAAAGTTCATTTAAAAGAGAAATGTAAAATTGTCCCTTAATTTTAGATTTATTTTATTTTTTAAACAGAACTGGTATATTTTAAGTTTTCAAATTTAAGCAAACAATATTTAAAATTAGCACGATTAATAAAAAAGGACAAGATTGACAATTTTACTTAAATTTAACCATAAAAATTCACCTTTGAATACTGAAATGAATTTTTTTAATTCCAAACAAAAAAAGGAAAAAGATAATATTAAAGATCTTCAGAAAGTGGCTTCCTCCTAAAGGTTATTCAGTGCTTCATGATTTGATGTATTGCTTTATTATTGCACTTTTTTAATGTGAGTGAGATTATGTTGATAATATTTCAGGGGAAATGCTTTTAATCATTTATGATTTCAATTGTGGCACATCTGAAGCTGTTTTTTTATTTCATTGTGATAATGTGCAGCATTGTGATGTGGTGATTTTGAATGATCTAATAAGGCTTGTGGACATTTTGAGGTGTGGAAAACAAGCACATGATTGCAAATGAAAGATATATCCCTATGGGAGTTGGAAGTTGCAACATCTTTAGTGTATCTACTAAGCTGTAATAAGCACATCATGTTACCTTCGTATTGAAGATATTCAACAAATACATTGATAATCTCTTGTATTCTGTAAAAAAATCACAACAAAGGGCAGTCCTGCTGTGTACAAAATACCTCAAAATTATGATCTGGTCAGTTGTACTTCACCTGATATGAAATGAAAATATCAAGTGAAAACAGTTTTTATTTACTCTGGCTGGATAAAAAGCATGTCTAGTCTTGGAAAGTCGTTTTAGATTTACAATGTCATGTGACATTATTATATATTTTAGAAACTTGTATGAATACGTTTGATGTTTTTATGTTCACTGAAAGTAAAAGTGAGAATTTGGTTAATTTTGTAAATAAGTCATTCAGAAAAATTTGTCAGACAAGTTTTAAGTGATTTTATGTACTGTGTACAGGTTGTGACCCAATGGATGACTTGGGTATTCATCATCACCTTTGGTATCTGATCATTTGTGTGCATTCAGACCAATTTTAAATGAAAACTTTTAGGCGTAAAACTACGGAGCTTTGTTAGTATCATATTTACTTTTTTTTAATTTTCATTTAAGTTTTATTTTATGGAATTTTCACCACGGTGAAAATTATTTCTACCGCGGTGAAAATAATTTACACCGCGGTGGGAATTAATTTTCACCGCGGTGGAAAATAATTTACACCGCGGTGATAATTCCTGGCCATCTCGGCCCGGGTGATGCATACATGTAGGTTGTACGAATCCAAAATTTACCAGATGTCTGGGAAGTAAGTTGATAAAGACACTCACATGCACATGCACGCGGTTTAACCAGTTTATGTGCCAATCATCCCAGGAATGTGGAGGAAGCGGGCAGTATTCGAATAGATTAAAAATCACCGAAATGCTGCAATGTTGTACGTCGCTTTTCCCTTTATAATAACTTGCGTATTATTGGGAATATTGGTAAAAAGAAACCTCTCCGAAGAAACCGAGATTACATCTATTAAGATAAGATCTATGGGCAAACACATCACACTAATATTTAAAAATACATTGTCCAAAAATAACGTTAAGTATTTAGTAATAACAATGGGATTCCCTTTGCATAAAACTGCAAGCGGGACTTTAATTATATAGGTGTTAAATATAGATGGGAAACCTAAGTTAACGGCAGTGGCCCCACGAACAGATCCACCAACCTTGTGTGTATGTAACAATAGCATGCACCGTGACGGCATCTGGCAAATGTAAGGTTCTCATTACCTATTCATCACCCGGGCCGAGATGGCCAGGAATTACCACCGCGGTGAAAATTATTTTCCACCGCGGTGAAAATTATTTTCCACCGCGGTGAAAATTATTTTCCACCGCGGTGTAAATTATTTTCCACCGCGGTGTAAATTATTTTCACCGCGGAGTAAATTATTTTCACCGCGGTGAAAATTCCATAAAATAAAACTTAAATGAAAATAGAAAAAAGTTAATATGATACTAACAAAGCTCCGTATAAAACACATCCACGAGTGACTTAATTAATCCTCCATTGATTCTGATATTGAAGACATCTCTTCTTATTTGCAAAACGGCCTGGAGATAATCTGACAAAATACAGCAAGGTATGGGGGATTGAAAGCAGTGCCACTGGGCTTACTGTTTGTAAATCTCTGGCTATTAGTAACTGAATTTCTTTGGCACAGGTTTTAGTTGAAATTGATCTGAATGCACCTGAAGATTTATCTTGATCTCTTTCCACTATTGTTACGATCTGTAACTTTCAGCTCAAGTCTTTGCCTGTACATATCTATAACATGTAAAAGCACATTGGGACTGTAAATTACTGCAATACGTTGTCAAAAAGCACACTTTATCTGTTTTAAGTGTACATGTTCTTATTTTACTCCATTTATTTTATGCAGACATTCACTATGCTATTTGACAAGAATTATAGGTTATAGGTTCTTGTAAACACTTATGCATCTGCCTTTGGTAGACTTCTTTATTGGACAAAACCCATGTTTATTTTATATTATACAAAAAAAAAGCATTCAAATATGACTGATAAATTATTTTGGTCAATAGCTGAGAGTTAGCTTGCTTTTCTGATAGTGCCATCAATGTGGTGATTTTTTAGTCAGTTTTAATAGGAAATTATGCATAATTTTTATCGTCTCGAGCATTCCTCGTGTTTTTATTGGTGTGATGTCTGACTACTCACTGCCAATTAACGTTCTTGTATGTAAATACCCATGTGAAATAATGGTGTCGAATCATTGAAGCGGGTCCTAAGCAAAACCATCCTTTTATGTGGTTCTTTCCTATTCAAATATGCAGTTAAATGTATTAATGATTTTGAAAAATGTTTATTGAAAGCTTGAGAAATGTTTTGATGATCATTTGTAAAAACTTCCAATAAAGTTTTGATAAGGCACATGTTACAAAGGATAATAACCAAGTCATGACACAGGGGGAGTTGTGATATATGGTGTTACACTCGCTTTCGCAGGCCAGTAATGACGCTGTGTTAAGGTGGTCACCTTCTAAGCACGATTCAGTGCATCTGGCAAATATGGTTTTGCAGCCAGTTTTAGTGGAAAGTTCTTCTAGTATGACTTTTTGTAGTAACTGGAACGTTCTACAATATTCCATACTGTGAATAAAATGTGGAAAAAGAAATTGAGTGTTCAGTGTGTTTTTTTATTCAATGTATAGTACAGACACTGGAAACACAGTTACTTGGAAGGGATGTTACATGTACCTCTCTGTAAAAGGGCCATCTTGTGTCAAGACTAAGGAGCTGTCCCAAATATGTGTTGCAGTATATGAGTTACATATTTTAGCTTAATATATCTAATGTTCTTAAATATGATTACATCAACAATAAGAAATTAATAAATATTTCGGTAAAGTAAAAACTTGAAAACTTGTTTTGAAATGAAAATGTGTCCACTTCGTAATAAAACGAAGCAAGTGTATTATTGTACCACCAGCGTTAGCGCTGGCGCTACACATGGTTTTAGTCCCGACCAGATCGTTCCGCCGGCTCCGCCGACCGTTACCGCTTCTCCTCCTAGACGGTAAGGGCCTCCATACCCATCTCTTGGATTTAGGTCACCTATAATCTCAACTCGTTCCACGTAAAATTTGGGCTTTGTCGGTATTGGGGTCTAGGTGTGGCACTCATTGCAATGCACCCTTGTCCAAAAATGGCAAAATTAAATGCTAATTATCTGCCCTACGGAAGGAATTATGGGAAAAATTTCTACAGACAGCTTTCCAAAAGTCATGAGTAGATTTCAAATATGCCTTTGGATTTGACCTTTGACCTTTATTTCAAGGCCAAGCAGGCCAAAATTTTCAAAAAAACAAATTTTTTTACAAAAAAAAATTATTTGCGCTGTTATTCAGACACCACACAGACTTAACCAATAATATTACTGGAAAGTGTTACCCTTGGGATCATCTTTCATCCCCATGAATTTGGGGTCAATCAGTGCATTTTCACGGGAGTAGCGGCCATAAGATACGGAAACTGAAAACTGTATCTAATTCAGGAACCATTAATGCTAGAGACCCATTCTTTTTTGCAATTTGTAGAGCATGTAAAGCCCAACACTGGAAGTGGTCTGCGTTTTTTTGTATTCCATACGGTTTTCGAGTTACGCTGTATCAAAAAGTACATATTGGTGGTGAAAGCAAAATGTGCAGTACGGTAATGGATAATAAATTTTGAACCCCGGAAAAATAAAACAAGGATTGGCGAGGCAGACAACTTGTGGTCAAAAATGACATTATTTCATCAAATTTGAACATCTGGAACTACAGAGCACCTCCCATTTCAAGAATTTTGACCAAAATGACCTTTTCTTTATTTTAATTAATTTTTTCTGTAGGAAATTTATGGCACATTATGGTAACTCCAAAATTATAACATTTAGTCCCTTATATTTCCAAAACTGGCAGAGATAGGTCCATGGTTACTATTGAACTTGAATAGGAAGTCATATACTGGCAATCTAAATGTGACCTTGAAATTGACCTTTGACCTACTTTTCATCATGAATTTAACTTTGCAAATTTTGGTTCCCTTTTATCTCCAAAACTGGCAGAGATAGGTCCATAGTTACTATTGAACTTGAATAGGAAGTCATATACTGGCAATCTAAATGTGACCTTGAAATTGACCTTTGGCCTACCTCACTAAGAACTGAACTTTGATTGTACCATTTTTAGTTATATATATTTTTTTGCATATTTTGAGAATTCTTGTTGATTGCATTTTTTACAGCTTGTCAAGCACAAGACTGGTGGTGGTGTCCCTTTTTTGTGTGTGTGTGTGTCTATACGATCGCGCTTACTCCAGCTGGTGGTACAATATTCGGAGGCGGTATCGCCTCTGTGATCCTCTAGTTAAGTCAAATTTTGGCTATAAAAGTGTCAGCTGTCCCTGGGAAGTTACTATGTCAATATGTTGTAACTATCAGAATATATATATATAATTCCGACAGCATTGAGTCGGCACAGAATTAGGCCATGC